ACCATCCATCTTAAGCGGCAAAGATAAACTTCAAGGTGAGTGCACTCTCTTAGCAATTATCATAATTTCTCTCCCGATAAGTACAGGAAAACTGATTTACGGGTATCAACGTTAACAGTATCGACACGTAAGCATGCACTGGCAAATATACGTTTTGATGTGCTTATTTTGTGGATAATTGTTTAGGTATAAAAGTATTACGTCAATTAAAGACGTTAAAATTATGTAGCTAAAAATAGTTGCGGTGACGGTGTTCCGTGGTCTTTTCTTGCGGTGATGCGATGTTGGTAAATTTTTTTTGCGATGTTGCGGTGTTCAGCCCCCCCCCCCTCTCCATATGGTCACGGTGAGTTTCGAAATATTCGAAAGGCCTCGAAAGATATGTGAATGTCTGAGTGAGAGTGTGAGTCTTTCAGGATATGTTAAGTCATGTAAACTTCGGATATCCGGCTATCTTAAAATCTAGTGCTCTCGGTCACATACCCACTTTTGTATCTACAAATTGAGGTATTCGCTAAACGAAGGGAAGCAAAAGATTCAAAAATTGATAACCTGCCAAAGTCGCGAACAGAGATCCTGCTTGGTGGTAAGTTGTACCTCACGGGAGACCCCATCAACCAAACGTGAGAAGTGAACGGTGAGATGTCATGATATTAATCAAAACAATATTTTGACCGGTCAGACCAGTTTATTTTAGATTGAAATGATATAAGATAGTGTTGCGGTTTTACAAAACTATGCTATCATAGCTGATGTCTCACAAGTCACACGCCATCAGCTAAATTTAGAACGTTCAGTTTGGAGTCATTAAAGGTTCGGACGATCCTTGGAATGTTCCGTATTTCTGAAGTAATAGAAATAATTGACCGAACTTGACGTCAATGGTCATTATGACGTCAATGATGATGACTCATTTTGAGGGGGAAACCCCCCAAAATATAACCTCGACCCAGACTTCCTCTGCTTTCAGTAAAATACGTCTGTCAATGAGCTCGTTCACTAAATTATTATATCGACTTGAACTGGGTTCAAATTACCACAGATCTCCTTTTTCCAGTGAAAGAAAACGTTAAATTTAGCATCCATAAGGGCTAGAATGGGTAAGAAGTGATATCTCCAACGTTTCACTTTTTGTCGATAGCCAATTTCCGGTCGTTATGGAGCCGACAACTCTTTTATCTGCATTTCTTTTAAGTAGTTTGTTTATTTATATCTCTAGTAACCTCTTAACAGTTTAAGACTGATCTTCCACTTTTTTTTCTCAAGCAGATTTGCCACATATGGTATGAAGGGCACCTTTGAAGTAAGCGAGAATTTGAAAAATCTAAGTGTATGTTTCGTCATATATTGCGTACAAGAATCCATTCGAGTTTGACGCAGAAACCTTGTCAGTATGCAGGATTTTTGTGTTATGTACCTGTTTAAAAGCCAGAATACCACAAACCTCCCTAATTTTCAGTGTAAGGGCATCCGAAGAAATAGATTTGAGCGCGGTTGGGCTATTATCAATAGACAAAAACATAATTTTTCATAATTATTGAGTAATCTTCTGAGTACAACTGTTTATCGATCGTAACGAACGCATATCTCATCAGCTTCGATTCTTCACCCCATTTACGCGAATACGATTGTGATTTTAAATAGTCGATGAGTATTGAAATATTAGAGTATATCTTTAAGGTACAATTTATAATTCAGGTTTGAACTCCTAGCAAAGAGGATCGACAAATATCTCTCTGAAAGTTGATCATCGAGTAAATGGTTGTAGAACAATGAAACATATGTTTTTGATGATGTTTTTTTTTTTGGTTAGTGTACTCCCACCACGTCGAAAATTCTGGAATTTCTTCTCTTCTTCACCTTCCACCTAAATCCATTATGCAAGTTTGTTGTGAATATTTCCTAGAATCACACCTACATTGGATTAATAGTACTCCTCTCATTTTGCCTTAGATAACACTTCTGGTATTTGTGCTACTGTGGATGCAGCCTCTGATAGAGTGTCGACCCACAAAATGTCCCTTAGCGAATAACATTGCTAAGTATGGTCCCAATGGTGAAATAGTGAGTTGTGTTCGTTGTCCAAACTGCCCCATTGGACAGGGATTGTCATATGCTTGTGGATCCAAGGTGCCAAATGATTCAAAAATTGAATGTGTATTTTGTGAACCAAACAAAACTTACTCTGATGAGCATGGAATAGGCCACTGCAAACAGTGTCAAGACTGTGGTTTGAGGAATGTGATTCAGGAGTGCTCAATTTACCAGAAACGTGAGTGTGGGAATATATGTCCCAAAGGGTATGTTTTTCATGATAACATTGAGGACTGCTTGGAACTGGAATCTGAGCCATCCACTAGTTCGTCAACACACTCCGCCAAGGATCCTAGTCGCAGAGAAACAACTGGAACACAATTAAAAACAGAATTAGCCGATGAAGTTACCACCACTGCTTCAACTCATTCTGACAGGATCACAGTAAGCAGCAGTCAGTCACAATTTCCATCAACAGGTGTCAATAATACACCTACACAAGGTACTTCACTAAAAGAAAATGACGACACTGCAAATGTGTTGTCAACAAAGGACCATACAGTGGCTATCTGTGTTTTAGTTGCAGTGGTTGTTCTTGTTGTCCTAGTGCTTGTGATTATAGTGAATATCTGCAAGACAAGGCGTGGTCACACTCAAAAAGGACATGAAGAGTCAACAGGTGGGATTTAATACTCATATGGTCAAAAATTCTGATAGCAAGTCCTCTGACCATACCATCAGTTCCTACCCACTGGCATGAAAAGTTTTTTTAAAAAGCTGATACTGAAACAGCTTATTTCATCACAAGAAAAAAATCAAACATTAACCTCAACTGAAATTGAAACACAAAAAAGTTAACAGCAAGAGACCAGTTACCCTCTTGGCTAGTTCAGTTTTTGGCAGTATTTTGGGGATACTATTTTTTTGCCTAATTGTTCAGACTATTCTATCATGATGATTTTAAAAAAGCCAATCTGGAATAATTGTTTTTTGTAGTTCACATCCTCACTTGCATCGATCCACTTAAATTTTGCTTTTTCAACCATTTTAGTAAAGCCATCTCTTAATTAAATAATAAGTTTAAAAATTAAAAGCCTCATTAATTAGAGATGTTAGTTATTTCCTACATTCTGTTGACATTAATCTATTAATGTGTGATTCACGGGTGATATTGTTAGGAGTAAGTTAAGAGAAATTAGATGCTAGTCACTGATAGGGGTAATGAAGAGTTAACTCAGAACACTCTATAATTTTAATTATTTGCAGAAAGTGCAGAGGAATGCATTCCACTGAAGAATATGAGTGGAAGTGGGGAATCATCAAGAGCTTCAGTTAGTAGCTCTACAACACAAGGTATTTCAAACTTTAAGTTCAATTATATAGGGTAGCATTATTGGATCATTTTAATGCTGGGGGTCACACTCCATATATTGGTCAATATATCGCTCAACTGTCAACCAATGGATGACCACTGTATTGGTGCACAGACAGTCTACAGTTTGCCAATACTCATTCAAGAATAAGTCGATAATCAGTGGATATATCAGTTGAGGTGTAGGTTGGCTGATGTAGCTTTTAGTTGCACTGATACTTTACCTATTTCTTACCAATACCTCACCGATACCTCACTGACAATTCACAGAGTATCAATGGATACTTGCATGTCACACTTGCAGTAACGCCACATGCTAACTACAATCTAGCCACACACAAAACATTTTCCCCCATCACATGATAGCATTAACTAATGATATCATTACTTGATTGGAAAGCCATTGGATTAAACTGCTAAATTAACACACTTGATTGATACTGAACATATGACTTTTATGCAACCAACAGTTGACCAAATTACCACTGACAGTTGACTGATAAAACACTGACAGTTGACAGATATACCATGGATGTATGGCTCAGGCCCAACAGATGGTTGGTTGCTGTATTAACCAACTATTGCCAGGTTGTTGACAGATAATTGTTTGACTATCGAGCAACAATCAACCGACTATCGATCAAGTGTCCACCAACTTTCAACCACCTGTCAACCAATACATCATTCTAGTATTGACTGATTCTGACCAATAAATTGCCCTAATATCAGCCCAGTCTGTATCCGACAGTAAACATGATATGCATTATCTTTCAAAAAAATTAAGGACTGGTATAAAAACAATTTCAAAGCATTTTGTAATATATTTGCTCTTTACCTCAAGTACAGGTGAATTAGTTTTGTACCTTTTTTTTTCATTATTATAGTGGATTTAGCTGATGTCACTTCTCAAGACAAGACCAAAGAACTTTTAAGAGAGGCATCCTTGGACATTTCAACAGGTACTTAACTGCAACCAATTACATAGCATTCAGAATTTCTATGTAACTATTGCTATTGCTACAATTTACCCCTAGCAAATTTACAAAAAAGTTATGAATTTTATGAAATTGTTCTAAACAATAGTTAGAAAAAACCTACATTTCCTCTTTGCTTACTAATGACTTGCTCGAAATAATATGTACATACTCTTACATAATTCATGATTTGATGCAAGTTGTTTCTGTTATGTATACAGAGCTCGACACTAACTTTTCAACTCCCTTGCCAAGTGGCTGGTAATGTCTCAAATACTACAATGTCAGTTCATTTACTAGCCAAACTGGCTGGTGGAAACTGAAAACCACCATTCAAAACTGAATTTCTACTAGTCTGTGGCTAGTGGGCTACCCTTAGTGTTGAGCCCTGTGTATATCTTCAGCTGTGTGTACATTTTCCTTTTTAGATAACAACATCCACTATTCAAATAAAGAGATGTCTTCTCATCCCGGTGATGCTTAAGCAGAGGACGGAGTTAATCTAGAAAATATTCCCCCTGGTAATAATTGATTTATGAATGATAAATAATTCATAAAAAGCTCACTCCAAGGATGAGGACATTTTCACTACAGTTGAATTTTGTAAATTTTAACATAAAGGTGAAGAAAAAGTGGTGCATGTACACACAGGTATTGCAATAGCTGTGACTAAAAGTGGGACGGGAACATAGGACATGGCACTCCAGGACATGGGACTTGGGGACATGAGACTCAGGGATGTGGGACAAGGGAAGTGGGGACTCGGCAATGCGCAGGGACTCAGAGAAGCGATAAACAAACAAACCTGATTTTTGCACTGAATTTGTAAGGTATAGTTTTTGGTGGTCTTGAGAAAGATATTATGCTACCAAAACAGGTAGACTGTTTTTCTGGAGACATGCATAACAGTTGCAGATCATTGAAGGTTAAGACACCTCAGTTTTGTCTGTTGAAATTAGTGTGCATCAATTTTCTGGAAAAGAAATATTATAGAACACTTTTAGCTGGAGGATCTAGTGTATTACTAAACCAAAGTGGATAAACTACAACAAAAATGCGGCAAAGAAATGCAAAGGAATGTTATCATGTGCATTTGCCTTCTGTGTTAACATCATTTTTTTAGTCACATGACCAAAAACTATCACTTTTGTCGCTAACATCACACATGTCTCCTGAAAAACAGTCTATCTGACTGTTTTGATAGTATAATACCTTTCTTGAGGCCAATGAAAATTATACTTTACAGATTCAGCAAAAAATCAGGTGTTGTTTGTTTATCACATCCCTGAGTCCCAGGCACGTCACCAAGTCCTGACTTCCTTGCATCACATGTCCCCCAGTCCTGGCATCCCCAAGTCCCTGAGTCTCCAAGTCCCTGAGTCTCCAAGTCCCTGAGTCTCCAAGTCCCCGAGTCTCCAAGTCCCCGAGTCTCCAAGTCCCCGAGTCCCTGAGTCCCCAAGTCCCTGAGGCCCCATGTCCCACGTCCCTCAGTCCCACGTCCCTCAGTCCCACGTCCCCAGGTCCCATGTCCCAGAGTCCCACATCCCCGAGTCCCACAACCTTTTAGTCACAGCCTATTGCAATCATTATCACATATGACAACATGAAGAAAGTGATGTAACTCATTACAAATGACTTTGACCACCTGACAGTCTATTACACATTTAAACAAATATCCTGGTGCCTGTATTTAATAATGTTTCTAAAAGGCAACCATTTTGTTTTTGAGGGAGTCAAGAGCAATTTCTAAGAGGTGACTTTATGTGACCAATAATTCATGATTAGCAAGAACTGACTATAGACAAAGCAAAACTGCTATATAGTGTTACTGTCAACATATGGTTTCCCCACTGTGAGCATTTTTGTAAATGTTTTGTTTAGTGTTAATTTTGTTAATAATTTCAAATATTTACTACCATGTTCCTTTTCTCTCTATCATTTAGATGTTCTTGTCTCTCATATGGAAGTTATGTGAAGAGAAAGATGGTAACATGTTAAATTGTGTAAAAAAAAAAACTTGATGCATCAGAGAGCCTCTTTTTGAAGACATGGCCCAGTGTTGGAAGAGAGCTGAAACTTGATGCTGATACTTTAAACTTAATAGGAGCTGACATCACAAAAAGTCCCACAGAATGTCTACTTGCGAAATTGAAAACTTTGCCAAAAGAACCCACAATGAGGGAATTTGTGCAGGCCCTAAAAAAATGTGAAAGATATGACTTAGCAAAATACATCTGTAATTGGCCTTGGAAGGTTGAGAACATCTGAGAGATTGGATGAAGACAGGGGCACATTAAGCTTCAAGGGGGCAGTGAGAAAAATGCTAGTCTATTTTGGAACAAAAAACATCTTGGACAAAATAGACTCAGACAGGGATGAACAAGTTCAGTGATTAAATATTATCAGCCACTTAATTACTGTAAAAAGCAGCTACAAGCTATTTATCTCAGGGTACAGAGATGAAGTTCTCTACTGTATATATAGCTGTTGGTGGCTTGGGGCTAAGCACACTAGCTATAGTTAGCCACCACAATTGTGGTAAACTTGTTGCATACCTTCACCAAGCCTTTTTTGATTTGTAAATATATTTCTATTTAATTTCCATGCTTATATATGTAGTTGTTAGATTTTTCAGTGTTTTTTAATACATTTTGTGATATTGTTAAGCCCCTAGAGCAATTAGTGATATAGACGCTATTTAAATAAAGTTTATTATTATTGTTATTATTCACACTGTACATATATACCATAATGATAGATATATATACTTTTAGATAGATAGATTTATTTTGCCAGAAAATATTTACAACTTAATATATATTTATCTTTTTGATATATACAATTCTTTTCCTGAAAATAGTTGAAGAAGCTTATTGGAAACCACCGGACTTATGACTATGAGCTTCCCTTTAACTATACCTAAAAATACAGTAATTATGTGTGGACGATCATAATGGAAGACAAACGTAGCAAAAAATTACAATCGACCCAAAAGAGATATTTCTTAGTATTGTATTGTGCATTTACACTGTCATAGAAATTGCAATTTCCAAAGGTGATACAAAGTTCGCCAAAGAGCTGTATTTTCAAAAAGTTTGCTTACCCACATGCTTCATGTCTTGAAATTGACTAATAATTTGCCTCTGAAATTTTGTTCTTATTCATTGATAAGACAATAGAAATTGCAATTGCCATAGAAATTGCAATTTCCAAAGGTGATACAAAGTTTGCCAAAGAGCTGTATTTTCAAAAAGTTTGCTTACCCACATGCTTCATGTCTTGAAATTGACAAATAATTTGCTTCTGAAATTTTGTTCTTATTCATTGATAAGACAATACAATGACAATATTTATAACACAGATATAACAATTGTGCTGCTACTACCAAGGGAGTAAAATAACCCCAAACATATCTTTTTCAACAGTTAAGGTTTCTGAAATAAGATAACATTTGTCCAAAATCAATGTGCAGTTTCTTTTTCAGGAGAATGACCTTAAGGCTCTGAAAAAAATTGGAACAATAATAATTTTGCTCTCTATAACTCAAAAATCCTCCAACAGATGTAAAATTGCAGAAAAGCAAAAATGAACAACAAACAATAAAAAAAAAAACCAACATTCAATGCATGCACAATACAAAGTGAATTTCAGTGTCCACTAGAATTATATTTTTGGTGTACGAAGTGAATTTTGGTGCCCAGGAGAATAATATTTTTGATATTGATGTTTAGAACTATGCAAGACGTTATTGTATATGCTTTGTAAAGCAGTTTAACCCCAAAGACAAGTATATACTTACCTACTACAGCTACCTCAGCTTATGACTGAGTATAACTATACTCAACAAGATGCTAACAGGGGTAAATTAATTGGAAAACTTCATGACAAAGGTTGCAAAACTTGCCATTTCAAATCACCATTTGTCATTATCTTTCACAGATTTAATATTAGTAGCAAATTCAGTGCTTATGGTTAAGAGAAAAAGTTTGACAGTTGCTAGAGCAACATAAGATATGTGATCATGTCATAACATGGTTTACTAACTTAAAGTAGTCAGGGCAGACTAGACCTGTATGACCAAGTCGAGTTTAACTTATTTAACATATTTAATAAAAGAACACAGTATATGTATATCAAATAGTATTTTAGATTGGCACACCATATACTTTTTCAGTCTTGAGTCTTCCCCATTCAAGGTGTCTGTAGCCTGTGTACAGCCACCTCCTACCCTCTAAAAGAAAATGCCCTTTTTCAATTTACGTTTGAATGATAGGGAGCAGCTGTACACAGGCTAGGTGTTTGTAGCCTGTGTACAGCCACCTCCTACCCCTCTAACATAAAATGCCCCTTTTCAATTTACATTTGAATGATAAAGAGCAGCTGTACACAGGCTAGGTGTTTGATGCCTTGTTCTGCATTCAGGTTTTCTCCAAACAAGGTTATTCCTGGAGAAAGCAGGCATGATAGTTTATTAAGATGACTTGCATGTACTGTATCTTAATTAATACTACAAGCAGCATTTTGTATGAAAAATGGTTAAATATGGATAATTTAATTGTTACATAACTGTTGCCTTTGATTATGAACCCTTAACTAGAGAGGAAATTATTTTTATTTTCATTCGCTCTGACGAAGGGCTAACGCTCGAAATGTCAGCTTTTGTAATCTTTACGGTGGCCAATTTACCACTTCAACTTTGTTGATATATCCAACTTATTTCATTTTTATTTTGGTTAACTTTAGAAATCTAATATTTATCTTTCTACTTTGTTAAGTGTGAAAAAGTGATGCTTAGTAATAAGTACTTCTGACCTCTACTTTCACTAAAAATGACTAAATCCTGGGACTTTATCATGTCTCCTTCATTGTTTAAATAATAGACATAATAAAATTTGAACACCACACTGAAATTTACAAAATTAGACCCTTTGAAAGTAATTTAAGGCTGTTTTACAATAATTTAAAGCTAACATTAATAAATTATTTAATACTGGGAATTTTTTCAATAAAGAAATAAAGTCCAACATTTCCACTATAACTCATTACTTGCAATTTACTCTCTTTATGTGTCCAGGATTGTTTACAAGACACCAAGGAGAAAACATCATGAATGCTATATGTGAGATTTTAACAGTGTTACAAGAGTTAGGGAATATGATTTGATTGCATGGACGAAAGCCTCAGCATAAAAGTTGTCTGCAAGAGTAGACCAGTGGATTATGACTGAACATTGTTTGTCACCATTGCCTTTCAAATTTATATAGATTTTGGACTCCGTAAACCTTCTAAAATGACACTCTGGTCCTTGATCTTTTCTAGAATTAAAGCTAAGAGAGTGAACCTGGTAACTTCCAGGCTTCCTATAAGGAAATTTTGGGTGGAGTGGGAGCAATATGGCAATATCTTAGGAGACTGGACAGCGCAGAACCATCCAGGTGGTTCTATTTTACAGATTTGGCTTTGACTTTGGCGTGCAGGTGTCATTTGGTAAAAATTCTCGAGAAATGAATGGCAGACAGTGCAGAGAATTTATATTTTGATCTTGGAAGTGAAGGGTTAAGATTGAAATGACAATATTTTTTACCTATTTAGGCAGCAGTAAGAGTGTAATTAACAAATTAACAGTGGTTTAGTATGGTCTGTACTCTAGGTCTGTGGACTCACTTTGCTGAGCCTCACAAGTCCACAACAATTTGACCACTATGATGATGAATATCATTGTCAATAAGAGTGCAGACCCCACCTCCAAATCACTGTCAATAAATGTTTCTACCACCGTGACAATACTGATGTCAAAATTTTCATGTCATCCAGTTTTAAGAGCTGATAAAGACAATGCCTGACACATTGACCCAAGTAGCTTTGTCTGTACTCTTATGGCAACAGAAAATTGGCCACTGAATCAGATTGCAGCATTTCTGCCAATTGTGGTGAGAATTAACTTGGCACAAATAATACAGTTGTACTGCACAAGAAGGCAAACATGAAATAAAGTGCTTCTTTGCAATTTTTTCTTGTAATATTCTTTAACATGCCTCATGTCATTGGACTAAAATTATGCAAACCTCAGAAGTTTTCGATAATTATTTTAAAATTCCTCCCACAGCTTCGAGCAAAATAGGATGAATTCTAATTTTTTAAAAGGGTATTTTGCTTCTGTCTAGTATATAACACTTGTTTGGGAGATTTGAGAATGTCTCCCAGGTAAGAAAATGTCAAACCTACCACCACCAGTCAGAAGTGACATACATATAACAGAAAACAACATGCAGGTTTAAGTTGGTTTTCAACTGTTTGAACTAATACTTGGTCATATTGCAGAAAAATGGAAAACTGTGGCAAGCTTTTCACACAGTCCCACAGTACAACACTTCACTGTGCATACAGTCGATGACCAAACAGTAGATTGCCTTTAGGACAACAGGCAGCTTTGCTTAATTCATTTTATCTGTTTATTTGTTTATTTTGTCATTTTTTAATTAAAACACATCACTAGAGATAAAAGAGGAATTGCATATAAGACTTTTTATTGCTTAGCCATTATGGTATATGAGCCAATATACCATAATCTACAAATATGGTAAGCATACACGTCAGCTTAAAATTAAAAGGGAGCTAAAAAATTTAAGATTTGGTAGGATTTGCCTCTTATCTTTGGGAGCGTTTTTAATAAAACAGTTATTCCACTCGCGATTGTTGGATATGAGATGATTATAGCCAACTCGGCGCTACGCGCCTCGTTTTCTATCTATCAGCTCATATCCAACCCGCGCTCGTGGAATAATTGTTAAATATAATATAACTGAAAAATTGGCATGTGGCAAGGAAACTCGTAAGGATACCAAGAGGCCTATACGCGCTACAGGCTCCTAATACTTTCACTCTGATGAACACACTAACCTTCCCCAAGCTTTGCAGATCTCGAGTGTCTTTAATTTGGAGTTTTGAACAAGTACCAGCTTATCCACGGCGTTGCAGGAAAGAACGTTTCCGCCGAATACTCCTCATGAACATACCACTATTTCTTATTCTTGGTGCACTTGAGACTAAGGTCATTTTATGGCCCATTTGGAAGTTAAACCTGAGCTATATTACATGTGTAAGAAGGGATTGCTGCAACCTTTACCATTTCCGCCATAATAGTTCTGTGGCTTGCGGTTATCATTGCGGTTCTTGTAGAATTTATGTAAGCGGCGGGAAATGTACATTATGATGATGATGATGATGATGATGATCGATGATGATTACTCTCATTTATTTGATCGTCATTCTTATCATCATTGTTATCATTAACATTAAGAACGTTATTGCCCTGCTAATATTACAATTGGCATCTCTGATCCTTTGCATTTCGCTGGCTCTTGGAAATTTAAAACTTGTGTTGTGACAGAATTAAATTAAGAGGTCTTACAGTTCTGGACCAGAACCTCAATGGCGTTCCGATTATTTAAGAGCATTGTGCATTACAATATGCAGAGGTTTTTCTCGTTTTGTTTCAGTTTTTATTTTGCTTTGTATGTAAATTTCGGAATCGGAGCATCCACTCTCGGCACGTAGTTAATTCTCCGCGCAAGTACCCTTATCTTATACTTGCAGACTACATTCTACAATCAGTGAAGTTATGATTCATCGAGAGCAATAAGAGATTTGGTCTTTTGCAACTAAAATGCCTCACCTATCTTGGTATCTTGACAGCAGATGTAGCCAGAGGAGTTATGATAATCTAGTTTTTTTTGCTGTCGTCGACAAAAAAATTGAAAATTTAACGTAGAAACTGTGAGGCCTTTGATCTAAGTCCAGTAAATTGTTAACACTGCCCGTTGTCATTCAACCAGCCGAAACAATTATTGTATAACATCATAACTTTATTGAACATTGAAGTGTAACTACCACCTTTCTTAACCTTTTTGTTTAAAACTGGCAGTCTACCTGCATTGTTTTAGCTAATCGTTATGGGTTATTTTTTTTTACCTTTCTTAATCCTATAGAGTTGCATTTTCGGCTGAATTAAATAAAAGTGCATTACAAAGCTTTCTTTGGACACACCAGGGCTTTTTTGTTCTAAAGGCAACCAGTGATAATCCATAAATAAAGCGTACATTAGCGCTTACGTTATAAAGCCTTTTATCATAACGTGAGGCAAAACTGAAGGAAAAATATTAAAAAAAAAAAAAAACTGTCCGCAAAGCTACAAAGCTAGATAAAAATTGTTGGCTGACCCTCGGTTAGCTTCGTGCTTTGAACGGCCCGGCCCAGGCCAGGCCACTCAGGCCACGCCTAAGGCATATTTGGCCATATCTTGGATACCTATTCGTGCTAAATTCTACGCTGAAGTTGAGTTTCCGTGACTTGTTTGTCACAGGGATATCAATTGTTGTTTCAGAAGATTTTTTAAACTTTCCTGAAAAGATTTTCATAAAAACATTTGTCACATTTGCATATAGCTCTCTAACATATAACTCGAAAACAATAACTAATTTTCCTCATCTTGAATTGATATAATGTTAAGTTAAAATATGGAGGTCAGATTTTAGTAAAATACAACCTACCATCACCCACCCCTCCCAAATGATAAATAATGACCGGTCCTTTGAATAGAATACGTTAAGCGGGATTAAATGAGGAATAAGCACTATATGTTTCTAATTAAGTCTAGCGCCTTTCTGAGACAACAGGAAACAGTCTCTCTAACAAAAATCCGTGCCGCATCGCCTTTGTTAGTAAGAATGACCAAAACATTAAAATGATCAGAACATGATTAACAAAACAAGGCTAATTATAGATCGTTTTCACTCTTGTGCAACGAAAAAATAAATCGAAAACTATTTAATGAATAAGGTCAAGAAATTGGAATGTTGTAGGAGATAGGTAAAGAAGACACTCCTTCAAGTCTTAGGCCTTTTCGTTTTTCCAAACTTCAGATATTCGTCGAAATATTTTGCGCAAATTTGCAAGGGCACTGTAAGGAGTCGCCATGTTGGTGCACCTCTTTGGTGCACCAATATGGCGGCAGGAAAATAATGTGAACATCTGGAACTTACTTTGGCTATTTAGTCGACTGATTATCTGAACTGAACCAACAAACACATACACTTTTATTAACACTTAAACTCCTAAAAAGGCTAAAAATCTTAAGATAAATGTATATTTTTCGAAAGATACCATCAGAGGTGTATGTCACGCAACGCCACAACTGTGAACTTCAAACTGCGCTGGTTTCCAAACCAAGCACGATGTTAAGCTGAAAAGTTGAAAAGGGATACGAATTTAAACCCCCTTATGCCTAATGACGATAAAAATTTTCGTGGCTGTTTAGATTTAAATTTTAGAACTTAATGACGTCACGTGAAAACGATCTAGAAGTGGGTCGAAGTGCCATGCGGCAGATATAGAGCTCGTAGATATCTCAGTCCACCTGTTCGCTTGGCTATGAGGGTTATACCATTTGCAATTTAGGAGAGTCACTCCCAGTCACAATCGGAGGACTTAAAGGCTGCAAACATTCCGCTTGGATAGCTGTAAAGGAAGCAAACATGCATAAGTGTAACTTCTACTTCTTCTCTACTGTATACTAAAGGAAGACTACGCTCAGTTCTACGAATAGGATCAATGCCAACCAGTGCATCCCCCAAAAGTAGATGATTTTAATTAATTTCTCAGAAGAAAGGACATGCTCAGGCAGACCTGAGTTAAAATGTTCCCATAAATCTCCCAAGCTGGGGCAAATTCAAATTTCACGGGGAGGAGGACGGGAGAAGGTGGGTACTCCTAATTTAAAGAGAAGGGATAATAAAAGGATATTCTGAGGTTCAAAAATACCGATATATAATAACATTTTAGTGGGTGGAACGATTAAAAAAGTATGGTGCGAAAACAGCCGATATATAGCCAGTCGCAAAATTCAACATGAAAAGATATGTGCGCTGTTCTTTTAGCCTGGTCATGGGCTTGAGATATATTTAACACTTACGAGCTGAAATTACTGCGCCACCGTCTGCATGCCTTCTTGAGTAGCACAAATACTGTGATAAAAATTGCTTTCTGTAGCAGACAAACAGCAACACTCCAAATGAAACACACGCAGTAAAAGCAACACAAGCAACAACAGCTACAAGCCAAATAGTACTAGCTCTGCCTCCGTCCTCAGAGCGGGCAGCCATCTTGTCATGTGCGATTGCGGGAGCCGTGGAAACTAACACAGTAGGCGCAGTTGTCCTGTATGCAGTAGGCGCGCAATTGATGGTGTTGACATCGTACCGACATATCTGGTTTGCTGGGAGGTTGGTCTGCGCTTTGCACTGTTTCTCTATGTCTTCGTCTTTATTGTCAGCACAACACCTCATGCAAGGTTTGCAATCTCCGGTTGTAGCTCGATAGAAACTGCAACGAGACGAGGTAAAACAATCAGATAACCTTTAATCAAGGTATTTCATCAGTATTGTGTTCCGCATCCCGGCTTTCTATGCTTAATTTCAGGGTACGCATAATTAAAAATTGTAGTTTAATAAATTCTACCTGATAGGTTTAAGTATAACGTATAGAGTTAAAGGGTTATAATTCCAAAACGACACACAATATCGATGTAGTTAAAGCTCAGGAGTAAAAGCGGTCTTTCAGTAAAAAACTAGTGATTAAAAGGCCTGAAATAGGAAGAGGGCTCTTTGATCAGTAACATCGATCTTCATTTTATTATCTGTGTATCTAGGCTTCGGAATAATCATCTTAATACAGGCAAGACTTTGACAAGCACTTCACGTCATTGTGTGCGAACTCTGTTGACAAATAAAAGTTGGGACTAAATTGTACAAAGGAAAGCATTGCAAAGAGACAAGAATGTTTACAGATTTTCTTAAACAAACTTTTCAAGAATTTGTTAACTGAAAGTGTGATATTGTGCTCTCCTCATAAGGTGATGTCTGCTCGGAAAAGATTTTGTAAATAGAGTTATTGTTTTTCGGCGAAAAAAGAAGCCTGATGCGCAGTCGCTTAGAGAGTCTTTTCCCCAAAACCGCCCCGTTTACATACCCAGCATTGCACTCTCCACAAACCGCATTCTTCGTGGCAGTACAAGGGCTTATGGTTTCTTCGTTAGGGTCACAGATGGTGCACGGCTTACACGAAGAGATGTCATGCTTATCAGAGTATGATTCGCCAGGTTTACATTGTACACACTCCACTGTGACGTTAGTATCGACAAGTGATCCACACTGCGGGACCATGCCCTGACCCTCGGGACATTTGGGACAGGGACGACATTCAACTCCGTTGGTGCTCGAGATAGTCAGCTGATTCCACCTGCAGCTTCTGTTAGACG